AAACATAATGACTTCCAAGTCAAGATATGGCCATACTATATACAAATACAAAATATGGCCCAGAGAGCTACCACTATACAGCAGAAATTTGTATTATTCTCGTGCATTGATCGCAGTGAGTGCACTCAAACCCTTAAAAGATTATTAGAACAACTAGTTTTGTGTAGGCACTTTAATCCGTTGTGGTGATAAGTATTCAACTCTTTGTTTTACGATCAAAATAACTATGTAACAGCAGTAACTACTCTAACGTACCATGACTGATCCATGACATCTAATGACTCCCTGGGTAATTTTTTAATTTTAATGACACTTGCTAAAAGTCAAAACGAGTCGCAGCTATCATAGTTAGCGCCATCGCTGGATGTCTCTTTTTTTAACCTGTTAAAAGTCAAAACGAGTCGCAGCTATCATAGTTAGCGTCACTCCCATCGCTGGATGTCTTCTTTTTTTCTTGAGTCGGAGGTAGAACGGTTGGCCCCACAAGCGAGTCGGGAGCTACTGCAATACCACTGTAATGGGATTCCTGCCTATAATGATCCAAACTAGGGGACTGGATATGATTTTCTCTCCCTACGCACGTATTCGTGGTTAAGTTGTCCGCTGACGCTGGAAATGTTTGGTCAGCGGATGGATAGATGACCTCTTTTAGTAATGTGACAACAGGGTTCTTCAACACAAAATGCCGACTGGGTTGTCCTTTTTCAGCTTCAGAATGTGTTTCAGCATTTTCCTTGGGGCTAAAAAAGTGGACGCATTAAAAGAAAAGCTATCTTTACATTATCCAACCGGTAGAAGGCAGAAGGTATAGTTATCTCTATAGTGATCAGAAATTGATTCTTAACATCTGAAACCTTTTAATGGCGGGCTTCATTACAAGTGCGTTACTGAAACCAGATGATGCAGAACCGATGCGGTCCGTGGTTAAACTCCACGATTGATTGGAATTTGCGTTAACTAATCGCTAAAAATTATCCCGCTTCAACGAAACATGTAACGTGGAATTCATTATTTCAACACCTATCCCAGTTTCCCACTCGCCCGGGCGCTTATGCGAGTAAATACGGCCACCCCATTTTATTATTTTTACCTCCTGTAATTAAACCAAAGTGATATTAAATGTGTTTTTTTTTCTACCTTTTTTTCTTCTCTCCCAGCCTACCAAAGCGATTGACCAACACAGTGACTACAATAAGCAATACTCCACCAGCAGCTGGTGCAATGTACCACTTGTAGAAGAGAAATCCGCGTAAGGCTTCAGCGTAAACCAAAATCATGTACGTGATCGCCCAAAACTCTGAATCGCCTGAATCCTCTGTAAAGCATAATAACTTTTCGTTATTGAGTGTGTTGCGTTCAAAGACCTTAACTTTAAGATTGTGGCCACGGTGGTTATGAGCGGGATTTAAGTTATGGACTAAAAGGCGTCGCGCCTGATAGCTACACTTGGAAAGACGCGGAGAAAAAGACAAAAAAAACAAAAAACAAAAATAAAACAAAACATAACAAACAAAAACAGGTGGGAGTGAATCGTCTCCTTCACGGCTGTCGTTTGGATATCACGTTACGCTTAATCGTTATCGCTGTTTTTATGTCATCATCATGGGGACTTGATCGTCCCGGGATACACATGCACCACACTTCATGAGTTATAGCCCAGTGGACTAAAGTAACAATACCCGAAATTACCTGCGTCTTTACTCTCTTTCATAAGCACATTGACATCTTTCATGAGTTCTGAAACGAAAAAATTGCGCTACAGTTCCTTTTTATCCATTTTATACCAAAAGTGCACAGAACTGAAGCACACATCTACCGCAACATGTTACAGAACTAAAACGAGGCATGTGCAGAGGCTCTTGGATCCTTCTATGTTCAACAACTTATCCTAGGAACAGCTAAAGCTTTAGCGATAAAACTTGTAAAGCTGACTTTCAAACTTTCGCCTCTGTCTGACACTAAAAAACCAAAGCAACAACAAAAAACAGGGCGCAAACCTGCTACATATATCTGAACTTCAAAAACTTTGCTTATCTCGCATCTGCCCTCTTTGAGTACAATTTCGTAGATTCCCGCTTGTTCCAGGCGTGCTGCAACTATTTCCAGCTCGGTTTTATTAGCATTCAAGGTGTAGTGAGGGCTCTTATCGTCCACTAACTCTTCATCGTGCGTCCAAAATAAGGCGCCCAGATCTGATTTCTCAACTTTGAAGATTGTAGAATCACCAGCCTTTATTTTGATAGGACTCTCGACCGAGGCATTCAGGAATACATCTGCAAAATGGTGGCGGTGGGATCAATACATCGTATGTCTTTATCAAAGTTGGATTGTTGGGTTCTTTAGACAGTTAAACACGTCAAAATGAAAGGTAGTGAAGGAGAATTAACATGAGGCAGAGCCTAAGATCCAGAGGAGGAGACAGAAACATGAGATGAGGATGGATGCATATTTTTTTTCTCACGAAAAGGGTGAGAATGTCTTCAATTCATATTTGAATATTCTTACCATGAACACTCATAACAAACGAGGTAAAAGAAAGCACATTTTCAACAAGTGACCCATTCTCCACTACAACTGCGAAGGCGGTGTAGTTTCCAGAGTGAGAAGGTAAAGCATCGTGTACATCCAGCGTTGTGTTGTTCGCCTTCAAAGAAAAATGCTCGTTTTCTTCTACTTCAGTAAGCATGTTATATCTCCAAAAAACTTGGAAATTTAGCGGGTCATCAAAATAGTTGTTAACTTCCACTGCAAAGGACGCTATTTCCCCAACACAGATGTCGGAATGAGAGCTGATCGGCCGAATTTTGATGTCTCCTGTAGTAATAGAACAAAGCAAGAAAAACAGTTGTATATGTTTCTTTTTTTATGGAATGGGAGGCTCAGCATTTCAGTCGAAGGGAGTTTGGCAAATAATATCAGTTCTCGATGGGGACTTGTGTTACACACTCAAATCAAACCAGAACGTTTTATTAAACACAAGGTTTTCTTACTTATTCTATATTCTTCGAGCACATGGTTTTTTCCTCTCTTTTGTTCCCAACACTCATTACGATTCATGAACTCGCAGTCACCGGCATACTCAACAAAACATGTCACGCACCCTACACTGGCAATATCCCGAATTGCACCTTATAAGGGAAAATCGAAGCCATGGACTATTTTTTTCAAATGGGTTATACCTATCCTTCTTTGCTGTAACTGAAAATGGCTATTGAATATTAACAGGCATTGGACAGTTTAGCATGTCCGATTAAAGTACTACTTGGTGCATCGACAAAATCGGCGACACTTAAATGTTTGAGAAAATGGCATTGGAAATGATGGTCGTGATATAATATTGTCTAATTAATCTTCAGATAGCTTATATAACAAATTTCTGAATGAGTTAGAAATAATCGGCATGCATGATAAACGATGACTAGCCACTATGAAGTGTATCTAGGCGACCTCTCGCAACATTTAGAAACCGAAAACATGGCCAAAGTCGGAAAACGGACCTGTGTGGACTTGAATTTCTTCACGTTTCCGACATCCACCCTCCTTAAGGAAAACCTCGTAAACTCCTGCCATCTCCGGGCCTGCATTAGATATTTCCAACTCAGTTTTTTGAGGATTCCCGTAAGCGTAATAAGGTTCGTGGCCAGACAACAGATTTCCATTATGCTTCCATGCTAAAGTGCCCAACACTGATTTCTCTACTTTCAAGATGGCGTTATTACCGAACTGCACTACAAGCGGACTTCGGACCACAGCTTTTAGGTAGAGATCTGCAAGATTGATTTCGAAGGTAGTAGACTTACTACGTATTTTTCCAAACACGATTGATTGTACCCTTATCAGTGAAACACGTCACCAACAATGTTCTTATGTGAACCAAATGTCATGCAATATTGAAATAATATTTTGTCAATGTAGAGACGGATTTTTTTGCTTTTTATAATGTAAGATAAAGATTAGTACATATTAAGATGACACTAAAAGAGTAAGGAAGAACAAAACGAAGGAAGGAACAGAGGAAAAATTTAGTGTCTGAATTAAAATGCTGCAGATCTCTCTGCAATTGTTCACACAAAAATACAAGGATGTTTGTTATCAATTCATAATTTAATATTCTTACCACGAACTCTTAGATCAAATGAGGTAAAAGAAAGTACAGACTCAACAGGTGACCCATTCTGCATGAGAACAGCAAAGGCGGTGTAGTTTCCAGAGTGCGAAGGTAAGGCATTGTGTACATTCAGGACTGTGTTATCAGCCTTCAGAGAAAAATGCTCATTTTCCTGCACTTGAAGCATGTTATATCTCCAAATAACATGGAAATCTAGGTCATCAAAATAGTTGTTAACTTCCACAGCAAAGGAAGTGTTTTCCCCAACACAGATGTCGGAATGAGAGCTGATCGGCCGAATTTTGATGCTCCCTGTGGTGATAAAAAAAAGCAAGAACAATGTTTGTTTTTCTAAGGAAGGCGCAGTTCAGTATTTTAGTCAAAGGGGGTTTGGCAAATTATCTCTCTGATGGGAAATTGAAATAATCCTAATTGGTCGTAATTGCCCTGTGTGGTGGACAATCGAAGCTAGGGGCTGTTTTGTCAAAGAATTCAAAGCTATCCTTGTTCGCATCAAAATTAATGGCTGGTTGTGCACAGAAAACATCCATCGAGCAGTTTACATGTCCAACTGAAGTGTCACTTGAGCACATTGTGAAATCGGTGACACTTAATTAGACAACACTAAGTGTTTGAAAAATTGGTATTTCAAATAATGTTCGTGAAATAATATTGTCTCAATAATTTCAAATAGCTAAGAACACTTATTTCTGAATGAGTTAAGAATAATCAGCATGCATAATAAACGATGGCTGGATATTTTGAAGTACATGTTTACGTAGGCGACCTATCGTAACATTCAGGAGCCAAATGACCAAAGAATACAAACCTGTCTGGACTTGAATCTCTGCACGTTTCTCACATCCACCCTCCTTAAGGAAAACCTCGTAAACTCCTGCCTGCTCCGGGCCTGCATTAGATATTTCCAACTCAGTTTTTCGAGGATTCCCGTAAGCGTAATGAGGTTCGTGACCGGACAACAGGTTTCCATTGTGCTTCCATACTAAAGTGCCCAACGCTGATTTCTCCACTTTCAAGATGACGTTATTACCGAGCTGCACTACAAGCGGACTTCGGACCACAGCTTTTAGGTAGAGATCTGCAAGATTGATTTCGAGGGTAGTAGACTTACTATGTATTTTTCCAAATACGATTCATTGTGCTCTTACCAGTGAAACACGTCACCATGACATTGTTCCTAGGTAAACCAAATGTCATGCAAAAATTAAATAATAAAAACAGTTACA